GCGTCCGACGTGTGCGCGGCCAGCTCGTGTTCCCGGAACCTCTCCAACCCTTCCTACGTGAGGGAAAGCAGGCCGGCTCCCCCGGCGGGGACAAATGACTCATGCCATACAAGCAAAGCGAGGCGGCTCTTAAGCCCTTCACACCGGGCAGGCAGCCCCCGGGTAAAATGAACGCCTCTCCAGACCGACGTGGGCTCCAAACAGAGGCTGCAGAAGGAAACTCCACCCCCAAATTAAACTGGGAAGAAAACTTCTCCAGGCTAGCTGCGTTTCTTAAGCATTTGCGCCAGAGCGCGAGCCCTGCGAGATGTTTCTTCCGCTGCAGCCTTCGCGCACGTCGGAAGTTCCTCCGCTTTGACGGTCGTGGCCTTGAGGCCGTTCTATAGCAAGTACTGTACAGCATAGTTTTGCACAGTAGCGTGCATTCCAGCCGCGCAAAGGTCAGGCGGCTTTTGGACCCAAGCTCATGCCCAGCACATGCCGCCTCTCTCTAGCCAGGCAAGCAAAGAGGCACGATCACACAGTTCCAGCCAGGCCTCGGCTCTAATAAATCTTACAGCTTTGTGTGAGATGCATAGCTGTCAACGCTTCCCCTTATTTAAGGGAAATTCCCTTATTCCAAATAGGATTCCTCGCAAGAAAAGGGAAAAGTTGACACTTTTCTTCTTTGCTCTCCATTATGTTTAGTTTGTTTTTTCCTGGTGGTGACTGGTAGCCGTTACAGAAACGCTATGCATTTAAAGCACATCCCCTCCCCTAAAAAAAATAAATAAATCCTCAGAGCTGCAGCTTAGGCCTCATCATGCTACAATTCCCAGCACCCATAAAACAAAAGTACAGTTCCCAGGTTTCTTGTGGGGGGGTGCTTTAAATGTACAAGCCTCGGCCACACAACCAGTACATATGACCTTTCCTCTATCTTATCCAGTGCAATTTTTCTAGAAAAAGAGGTGCCAGAACAATTGAACGCCTCCCTTGTTTTCTTATAATGGCAATGGTGCCCACCTGAGGTGCCAGAACTGAGTTCTGGTGAGTTCCAGTTGGGAAAAAAAGCCCTAATCTTATCAATACTCCCTTCTCTACAGTGGTACCTCGGGTTAAGAACTTAAAGTGAAGCACCACCTTAGCTAATGGGACCTTCTGCTGCCGCTGCACCGCCGCTGCATGATTTCTGTTCTCATCCTGAAGCAAAGTTTTTAACCCGAGGTACTATTTCTCGGTTAGCGGAGTCTGTAACCTGAAGCGTCTGTAATGTGAAGCGTCTGTAACCCGAGGTACCACTGTACCCCAGTTTTTTCACCTCCAATACTTTTACCACAAATCTGCAGTATAAAACTGTGTTGGTTTGTTGTGATGCAGCAGCATAGGGGAACATCTTTTTAAATAAACAGGTTTATTGTGGCATAAGCTTTCATGGACTTTAATCTGCAGTGACCAGCCCAGGTCCCTCCTGGGCTCACAGTTACACTTCAAGACCTACTTTTTACCTTGTGGTAATCCCTCGACATGGGAGTATGCAGAAAGAAAAGCCTGTTGCACTGCGTTTAACCTCTCACTTTTGTTACATCTGGCTAAACATAGGAGCTGAGGAGAGACCTTGGATTAAACTGCATGATTTCTAGTTTGCAGGAGGTATCACTATCCTCACTCACATAAACCTTTGCTGCACTCGTTGGTTAATATAGGTCAGCTACCTTAAATGCTAACCTTAGCAATTTGTTCTGAAAATACCTAGCATCTATATGGGCATGCTGCTGTTGCTGCTCTAAATACATTTCTGATTTGAAGAGGAGCAACTCTTTCTGCTTCAGTTTGCCATATTAGAGGCCAACAATGTGTCAAGTAGGAGAAAAAAAGTGGAGCCTTCTGACGTAGCTACACATGCCCTGAACCTTCGTCTTAGAACATTAGTCATTTCCGTTAAGAATGGGCAGATTGCCACTACAGTCATCTCAATCCCAAAAGTAGTTAATCCAGAAACACTGAACTAGACCAATTACATAGACATCCATTGACCATTTCAAAATAAATCAAGTTTTCTCAGATTAGGATTATGTGATTGCAGTTTATCTGTATGTATGCGCACCCAGCCTCCCAACCACGTGATGCTCAGATGCCGTGGACCAGGGGTCAGCAACCTTTTTCAGCCGTGGGCCAGTCCACCGTCCCTCAGACCAGGTGGTGGGCTGGACTATATTTTGAAAAAAATATATGAACAAATTCCTATGCCCCACAAATAACCCAGAGATGCATTTTAAATAAAAGGACACATTCTACTCATTCTACTGATTCCTGGACCGTCCGCGGGCCAGATTGAGAAGGCGATTGGGCTGCATCCGGCCCACAGGCCTTAGGTTGCCTACCCCTGCCGTGGACGCACCACAAGGAAGTAGCAAATGCGTCCCAGCACCTATTGACAGCGCTGAGTGTGTGATAATTAGAAGCCCAGTATGCATGGAACCTAATAGCCCCTGTTGCACGGTCATTAGTATCAGTTGTGCAGAGACACTTGAGAGGTGGGGGACCTCAGGTCCCATTCAAGAGGGATACACCATCTTTTCTACTTTTCCATGGCAATTGTCATCACAGGGACATTGCAATAGTGTGAATCATCTGTATTTTTCTAAATAGATGATCACTCAACAGATCCCAGCTCAGAATAGCAAAGTAAAACAAAGCATGCACGTGGCAGGAGATCCAAAGTTAATCTGAAACTATCAAAATAGAAGATCCAAAGTCATTCTGAAACAATGTGGAACAGATTCCAAAGGGAGGTCTATTCTTTTGTGCTGGTCCTTTGTTGCCATTTTAAAAAAGAACTCCGGGAGTATGCTTTGTCTTTTTTCAAGATGCAGAAAATGTCCCCAGAGTGTGAACACTATGCCAGTGTGGTGTAGTGGTTAAGAGCGGTAGTCTCGTAATCTGGTGAACCGGGTTCGCGTCTCCACTCCTCCACATGCAGCTGCTGGGTGACCTTGGGCTAGTCATATTTCTCTGAAGTCTCTCAGCCTCACTCACCTCACAGAGTGTTTGTTGTGGGGGAGGAAGGGAAGGGAGGTTGTTAACCGCTTTGAGACTCCTTTGGGTAGTGATAAAGCGGGATATCAAATCCAAACTCTTCTTCTTCTTTACAAAAGAAATAGAAAATGCTGGCACATAACAAAAACGGTGATAAGGAACAGAAGTAAAAACTACACAGAACAGAGTAATAACAGCACTCCTAATTATTTTGCACTCACCGAGTTTCCAGTGCTAAATTTTTAATCCTTGCTCACATGACTTTATCCAAACCGCAGGTGTATCCTGTACTTTGTTGCAAAGTATGGCTTTTTGATGTGTTGTTTCTCAAACCAGCTTCACACTGACTGGAGTCCTTAAGCCTTTTCTAATTAGCTTCTAGTCAAGGTGTGAACATGTTTGCTAGGGTAAAGACATATTTGCCCTTCAACACCCCCTGGTGTGTATAGAAACAGAAATGAATCTAAGCCATGCTAAAGTGAACATCTAAGAGTTGGGGAGAAGAACTGTAAAATGCACACAACTTCCCCTCCCCAAACCTTCATTGCACTCCAAGTGGTCAATGTGAACAACCTCTGTGTTTCGGTCTCATCTCGTATTATTTCAGTTCTGAACCAACCATGGGTTTCACTCTTACACTGCACATACCCACATTTTCAGTAGACACAAACAGGATGCAGATTAGAAGGAACCTGTTGTTAAATCACAGCTGTAAATGCCAAGAATTCAGCAGCCATGGGAATTCTGACCAGTGGCGTAGCGTGGGTTGTCAGCACCCGGGGCAAGGCAAGTAATTTGCGCCCCCTAACCCGTGGATTTTAGTAGGGACAGAGAGCTGCGAGTGCGAGCGCGCCCCCCAGATGTTGCGCCCGGTGCGGCCGGCCCCCCCTGCACCCCCCACGCTACGCCACTGATTCTGACCCAAGAGTCAGAGCATGGACAAGCTTATGCTGCAAAAAGGAGCATTTTCTCAAAACTGCATGTATAAAACATCCACCCCGCAGTGTTCCTGCAAATGGTTCGCCCCGAGAATACTAGATAAGCACTTGTGTATGTGCTGGTTTTGTATATGCACAAAATTCAGGAAGTTAAGCATTAAATAGGCAAATATTTCCAGCCTTTGTTTCTACCTGCCTGCAGTTGATGTCTTCTGATGTTGCAACAGGTAAGCATCAACCTGGCTAGGCAAAACAGTTGTAGCTGAAATGTTATCCAGGGATTTTACTGCTAGTTTGTGTGAGCAGAAATCAGTTGAGACATTGGGGGGGGGGTTTGCTTTTGATGAAAACTGGTATTTGGTGCTTAAAAGGAAGGAGAGAAGATTATAAGAGCAGAGCTGTAATTAACATCCCTTAAGAGTTGAAACCGTAAAGCTACAAAACCACTGTACAAGGAACAGTTACAGAACTATTAGGCCTCCTCAGTTAAGTTGTCATGTGGAGAAGTTCCTGGACTTCAGTGACGTGACACATAAGCTACATGTGTCAGCGCTTAGAGAAGACTTTAATCTGCAAATGCGGATTAACACTAAATACTCAAAAAGCTTCAGGAGAATTCAAACAACATGCAGGTTATTGAACATGCGTAACAGCCTTTAATGACTTCTTGTTATGCACAAACCAAATATAGAGTGGTCTGAAACAAAACTTTGGTTAATTAAATACGTCAGCTTCATAACCCATGGTTTGAAGATGGCTTTTTTAAAAGAAACTGATCATTTTGTTTCAAACTGTAATCTGGGCCACGCATAACAAAAGGATTCTTTAAAAAGAGAAAACTAAGTGTCTCCCAGCCACAGAGGTGGTGGAGAGAGTGTGTGCATTCGAACCCAGGGCTTTGCTTGGGCTCCCTGCAGCTCATCTGTAGCACTAAACCACCTATTAGCATTTCCTAAAATGCATAACTTGAGCTACTGGTTCTCTCAATAAGGGATATAATACGACAGTTGACTCCTGATGAACAATTAGCAAAAGGACAGATGGCACTTTTGAACAGAATTTATTTATTCCAAATATCACATAAATACATTTCCCCATGAATATTCCAAATATACATGAAATGAACATTGCAGCAATTTTTTATTTTTATTTTAAAAAAGGGGTTTGGCTTTTGTTTCATATAACAAGAAGTGCCAAACATAGTTGTAACACATACCTGTCTTTCATCTTCTTTTTAACCAAGTACAAAAATGCGATTAATAATTTATATTTGTACATATATACACATACACCCACACTCACACACACGTAGACATACACACATTTCTTCAACTAGCTTCAAAACAGATAAGGATTTTGTTTCAAGTTTTATCTACATAAAATACGTTTTCTTTTTTAAAAAACAAAAAAACTGGTCACAAGCTCCAGGATCTGGTTTTTGTGGGTGCTTTGTTGATACAATCATTCCAGAGCTGCAAAATTAAGGCGCTACCAAACACCAGGCCTTCAGCTATGTATGACACTGCATGACTTACGCATACAGCTTTCTGAACACCCTCTGCCATTGATTCTCTTTGAAATTAACTACAGCAACAAGCCAAAGGAGCAGAAATCTGCTGATTATCAGCTCACTGGAGTCACAAAGCAATCTCAGTGACTGAAAAGAAGAAAGGAGATTTCGAAAGCAGGAGATAAAAGGCCACAAAAGCAAACAACTGGCATGATCCGTGAATTTTTTTAAAAAAGATTTAATTTCACTTACAAAATCTTTTTTTTTTATACGGAAGCCTTACACAGCAGGCTTATAATGGAAAACAGGTTTTTGCATGTTTGTTTAGAGGGGAGAACGGAATGCCTTCTCCTCCTTATCATAATCAATAAACATGTCTGGAACATTTTTCTGCAAAGCTTTTCAGACCATAGATACCCTAAGCCCCACTTCTCTTAGGCTGCCAGACCAATCAGCCTAAGAGAAACTAAAAAAAACAAAAACAAAAAAAAACCCATTTTTAAAATGTTGGCTTTCGTCATGTTTTTCAATTAATGCGTCTGCTCACTTGACAGACGTTGATTATTAAAAGAGCAGACAACCTGACCTTTAATTTCAAGGGCTAAGTGTACCATGTTGAATTCTGCCAGAAAAGTCCTTCAACCAAAACAAAACACCAAAGAAGACTATCAGCGGTACTAATTTAAACATGGAAAGTGCTGAAAAAGTAAATCAGCAGAACAAAATAAGTTTCCTGTTTATGCTCAACTGCCGTGTAACTTCAGCTATTAACAGAAAACAAGACAAGGAGGGGAAATATATGAAACAACTTTTAAGCAAGCACAAAGGTACTGTGAAAAATCATGAAGTTTGTCAAAGTTCCCTGCCAAAAATTAACGAGGGCACATTTTGAAGGGTTTTTTTTTTACTAAATACCTTGGAAGCTTCTAATGTTCAGGGGGTTTACAGGAAGACAGATGTGTTTCGGAGAGTATGTATGATAGCACCCAGGGAGCAGATCGAAGGGAAAATTCACCAAGACGGTCCATTCTCTAGCTTAATGCTAGCTCTCTTGAAGGAAATACAAGCACAGCTCTGGTAGAAGGTAGCAGAACTTGCAGGAAGGCTATGGTAGAGATTATTAGATCATTGGTTGCAAGTTATGCAGTTTACAATTAAAAGTGTAGTCACAGGTCGTTACTTTACTACAAAAGGCGAATTCAAGGTAGAGGCAACTACAGTACATTCAGGGTGTGTGTTGATCAGTTCCTAGGCAACTGCTACTGGCAACTTCTGACTAGATACTTCTGCCAATCATCTAACACCACTCGGACTACAATTACGGTACGGATAATGCAGTCAATCACCTTTTAGATGATATTGCTTCCTGAATTCACATGCAAGTGTTCACACCTTCGTCAAAAGAGAACACACTTTGTAATTTAAGGAGGAGGCACTTCTGAAATATTTTGGTATTGCCACTATTTTCACCTTCCTGTCTTATTTGCACATGAACCTGTGTCTTCAATTCACACGGCATTCCAAGATTTGAACCGGTGTTATTTCTCCCAAGCTGTTAACACAAGTGTTTTCTACAATTTGGAGAGTTCAGCAGTTTGCAACAGTGCTTTTGCAGCTTCACGTTCACTGCTAAAATTTCTTTCCAATAGGCTGACAGACCTCTTTTTAAAAAAATAAAAATAAAAATAAAAAAGAACATTATTAACAATACGTACTGAGACATCAAAATACAGCTATATTTACAGAACCAACAACTAATTGAAGGTTAACACCTGGTTTAAGCTTGCATTGAAATTTGCCTTTACAGATTTCAGTATGTGCCTCCTCTCAAAGTTGTCACTGAGGACCAAGACTCCAAGCACAGACAGTGGTCGGTACATAACGAGTAATAATATTAACGTTTTGGTTTAAAAAAAAATGTGCTAACAAACATTGTTCCAGTATAACAGGTTAGGCTGGCATGGCTGTTGAAAATATAAATGGAAACTGGATCTTACCTGTTCTGAGTTATAATTACAGAATGAGCATGGAAGGGTAATTTGAAATGGCAATTCTATATCTCAGCGGCCTTTTGAGAGATTACCACAGAACTGCTTGAACCAAGTATATATGTACATATGCTAGAAATGCTGGCCATGATCCAGCAATGAATCTCAGCATGCTCAAGTGGCTCCAATGGCAGCAAAAAAAAGCATCCCGCGCACACAGGGAATTCCATCCGGCACGGGAGGCTGCGGGATCCTCATGCGTACCGATATCTAAGTCACAACCACTGACAACAGGCTATCCATAAGTAAGTTTTTTCCATATTGTAACGTGGGTCACCTGAGGTTATTCTTTTTTTCTATTTGTAGGAAGTGGGGGGGGGGCTGTTTAGGGGAACCCGACCATCCTATACATACATCGAAACACTATTTCCCATTACACACAGCATGCAAGTTACAAAGACAGGGAGGGTTGATCAGCCGCAGTGCTGTCACCAGCTACTCTTTTGGTCAAACACTGTCTTGCAAGGCGAACGTCCAGGAAAACACATTTTGCTTCACAGATCAATCATTTTGTCAATATGCTACAGACGAAAAGACTGCCCCCTGTTCATTTAACACTTGTCTTGTGCATTCTTCCTCTGGAGGATATTTTGGGGGGTTTCCCTTCAACTGGCAACCTCTAAGAATTGTTTTTTCAAAGTTTCTTTTCAGTTTCTAATCCACTGTTTGTTCTGAGTTCTGCTGTGTAGAGTTCAAAATGGCTGTTTGGGGCTTCAGGGGCATCTCAGGGCTTGTGACTCAGTTGTCCCCCCGTGATAAAATGGACAGTTGGTTGCAAGTAGCGATTCCAAGTTGTTGCCTGCAGCGATCGGCTATGCTGCGACTGTGGCGCAACTTCTAAGAGGCTCAGATTTCTCCAGGACAAGAGGCACAGAATGCTTGGTTAACTACTGGGCAGAGTGTGTGCAAAAAATAAAAAATTGTGAGTGCTTAGATGAGCAAATCAGTTTCATTGAAAGGGAAGAATGCGTCGGTCTCTTGAGAATACTTAGGAGTATTCACAACCATTTGTTTTCAGTGTCTGCTCACAAATGAGGTGGTGTCATCTAGGTCTTTTGCGTGTCACAAATATTAATACGCGCCGTATGGCGATAAGACGATCTTTAAGTGAAGTCATGGCAAGAATGGCCAATTGGGCCCTGTTCTCCAGTGGCAATACTGCCAGCAGCCACCAGTACCAAGCAGGACCACTTGGGTTGCTCTGCAAAGGGAACAACGAAACAAGACATATTTAACGTGCTTAATATTTATAGAAAAATCTAAACAACAACCCTCTGCACTAAAATGTCTTACTATTTATAGGGTGATCCAAAATACCGCATTCTGCAAAATCCTCAGGCAACCGAGAGTGAGAACAGACCCTCTATTCCTCTCACCAACCCATCTTTTGGAGAGAACAGTACTATAACAGGGAGTCGGCCCAAAACCAAAAGAGCACTCTCTTTTCTGAAACTATTTCTATTTCTAGCTTGATCTCTGTCTAAAACAAAATTATACCTGGCTAAAAATAATTGGCACAGAATAGGAACAAACAAAGCTATAGTATGACAATAACCTTTGGTCTGTTGTAATACTGGTGTTTATCATGCTAGTTAGAGAGAAAGAGAGAGAGAGAGAGAGAATGTGTATTTGTTTAAAGAGATTGAATATACATCTAAGTCATTCACTACCATGTTTAGTTTGTAAGCCTATGTGAAATCATACAGTTGGCATTATAGGAATGGACATCTTGAGGCCATCCCACAATCTTTGATGAAATAGGAAGAACAACATGGGTGGAGATTTTTCCTTTAATGAGAATTGCTTTTTCCATTCTGGCTTTAAGCAGTTTTGAGCACTAAAAGCTGAACTAGGAACAACACTGATCATTCATGCAGATTTGCTCCTTTCTAAAATTTCCAGAGAGTGTTTTCCACACACACACACACCAACCACTCACTAAGTGGTCTCTCAAGTGCAATTGTCAAAGGAAGATCTCTGTAACTGTTTCGATAGAACAGTCCTGTGTTAATAATAACTGTACTAGCACAAAATGATTGGTTTATAATCTCAGAAAAGGCTAATGCACAAAAACAGACCAAGGAAACAAAGCTAAACTGAAGCGCGTACAAAATTTGCCCCAATGTCTGTCTGTTAAAATGAGTTATCAGTCTATGTGAGAAAGTCCAAATGTAATTATGACACAAATGAGGATTTAACATCTTAATGGATTCTCCCTGGGGTGGTAATCCAAACGTGCAAGATTTATTGGTGGCAGCAATTTAACTAGATGTTTTTAAAGGTGGTTGTTGTTGTTTTACTCCCAGAAGCAAGTGAGCATAGACCACAGTTTAGTATAGCAACTAGCTACCAATATATGTATTTTTAGGGCAGAAGGACAGTCTCTCTCTCTCTCTTTCTTTTGAAAAATCTAACGGTGGATTACCTGTAACACTTTCCCCAACTTGAATATACTCCTTTGTTGGGGCCTAGGGATGTGGTTTGCATGGACCCTATCCCTATACTGCACATTTCCTGGGCCCTGCTGCTCCACACTTTCAAGGAGCAAGCTTTGGTCTGCAGGATTGGTCTCCAGGAATTTCCCCACCCTTTCAGAGGAAGGGTGAAAGGAACTTCTGGTCCACCTCCCTGCAAAAGTCAGTGGAAAGTATCCCCTACTCCGTGCTCTTAGACGTTCTGATCCACGAACATCTTTTCGAAAGGAGACTTGTGGGATGTATAGCACTTACCTGTGGCTCAGGCTCCTTCCCTGGCATGGACCCAAAGTGGTTCAGAATTTGCGCTTTCATGTTGTCTTTAAGAGAAGTAAACCAGGCGACAGCTTGATCATAGACTGAATCATGAAGGCGGACAAGTTCTTCATACTCTGCCCCTTCAACCTGCAGAATGCACAAAATGGGATATAAAGCCACGTTTCTCTCATTTGCAGCATGACAAAAACAAGGCAGATAATATGAATTAGGGTTTATCTCAAGTGCCCCCCTTTTTTTGCTTCAGAATTTCCCCCGCAAAACCCCACTCTTTAAATCTGAATTGGAGCAAAAGGCAATCCAGGGAAAATCTGAATAGCCATTTGCTCCAATTCAGCTTTAGATGGTGGGTTTTAACTGATAAAGATTGGGGGGGGGGGAGAGCACTTGGACACAGACCAGGAAAGTGTGGACCTGTGCCTGCAAAAAACTGAGCAAAGGGTAAGTGTGGGTAAGGCCTTAAAGTGCTGCCTAAACAGTTAAGCCACTTTCAAAATGACTTGGGGCACAGTAACTTGATTTTTGTGCTAAAATAGGCACTGGGGCAGAGGACAGTGTAGCCTAGAGAAGGTGTACTCCTTAAAAGCTCTACTCAGACCCATTCTGTCCCCTAAGCGTGTGGCAGAAACTGCCGTAAGTTTGTGTAAAAAACCCACCAACACTTGCTTTGCAATCACAAGGGCCACAAACTTTCTCCTTCAAAAGTGAAAGAGGGATCCTTTGGGTGGTAAAGGTGTTCATCTCGTTTGGGTTTTTTTATAATAACTGTTTTAGAGAACTTTTCGTCTGAATGTTGAATGTGTAAGTGTATGTCTAGAGACAATGGATAAAACGAACAACATCAGATGTACTGCTGGGTAAGTGTTTAATGCTAATTGTATTTGTTTAAAAACAATTTAAAAGATAGGTTACAAATATATATGTATATTTTAAATGTCAGACAGGAACTCTTTCTATACTTTTTGAGAAGCCAGCTAAAACTTTTAATTCAGCAAACCTATCCAGACACAAATCACTATTATGTACGCATGTTTTTAAAATGTTGGTTTTTATCTGTGTATTATTGATCACCTTATATTACTTGATGTGTGTAGATATTTCATTTTTTTCTAAATGAATGAAACATTAAAAACAACTGTAAACAAAAATAAGCCCACCATACTTCAACAATAACAGTAAAAAAATATTCCAAATCAGATGATTAAAATCAATGAAATAAAACAGGCATCTGGAACCCCCCCCAAAAAAATAGATTAAGAGCAAACCACTCAACACAATACAATAAACTAAATACAATTCAAAAACCATCATAATGGAAGCATGACACCCACACCTTATAGAAGCAGTCATACAGAAGAAGCTTTCTGACTGAAATGAGTGGCTCCTCCACAATTATTCAAGGAAAAACGTTACAGTGGTACCTCTAGTTGCGGACCCGATCCATTCCGGGGTGCCGTTCTCACCCCGAAAAGTCTGTAACTAGAGCGCCGCTTCTGCGCATGCACGAAGTGCACAGAACGCTTCTGTGCACACACACGCAGCAAAACCCGGAAGTATACACTTCTGGGTTTGCCGCACTCGCAAGCCGAAAAGACGCAACATGAACCTAACGCAACACGAGGTATGACTGTATTCCCCAAGGCCTGCTGGCATGGGAAAGCAATTTCTTTGTACTGGAAACTTGTGGCAGCCACCTAAAAAGTCAAAATTTCCATCTCTACCACTGAGCAGAAGGGCCTAACTTGCTATCTCCCCCTCATAGATCCTTAAACTCAGTGACTGCTTCCAACAGCGCAATGGGTCTGACAGCAGCGAGCTCTCCCATAGCCTTCATGCATTTGGGTGCTATTCTTAAGGCAGATCAAAGCTCCTTGACTCAATGTGGCTTCTGCATTAAGAGGATTTCACTGTATTTAAAAGGGACAGTCATCCACAAGGACAACCTTCTTAGGGGAAGGATGGAAAGTAAAGAGCAGAGAGTTCAACAAAGTGCATGAAGCACAAGCGTACAATTTTACACACATTTGCTTCACATGGAAACTTCTCGAGCCACTGTTTTATGGTGAAGCTTTTGTCCAGACATTCGCATGGGAATCAAAATGGCGCACTTGATACAAAAGAAGGTTCTGCCATATTCTGAGGTAGCGGAATGTGCAAACTAAAAAGTGGAATTCTACCGGATTCTGGGAGGGATCAACACCCTGTCACCTCAAGCATTTCCAAAGCTTGGTATTCTCATGGTTTAGTGCTGCATTAGTGCCCTTCTGATACAGTGAATAATGTGTGTATGTGCTTTCAATTATTTACACAATCGTGTTGCAGATTAGTAACCTCTGGTCTGGTAAGCTTTCAATCCTCCTTTTGAAGGATGGAAAGATGGCAATCAACAGCAAGTGATTATATATATGCACGCTGTTTGAGAAGCCACTTGCTAAACAGTCATCTGTATTCTCCCCGATGTCCATGACTGATGTGGAGGATGTGAGTTAAGTCTCTTTGCAGAGTGGAAATTAGGCAAATACACTTGTAAAAGACCCTTACGAGACAAGTTGTAATTTGAGTATATTTGAACAAATGATTTTTTTCCGCTGCCAACTCTTGCTCTGCATGTAATAAGAGATCTATTTCCCCTATTCTGTCCAAAACTCAAGACAGTGGCTCAAGTTATTTTAACCTTCAAGATCAGAATGATATCCTATTCTCTATGCCTTCATCTGTTCCTTCCATCTGAGAACAACTTTACGCTGCGCTGCTGGAGAAACCAGTTGCAGAAATTAACAGGATTAAGCGCCAGTGACCAAAGCATGCTTGAGGAATGCGTGATCCGATATAGAGCTTTCTAATGCCTTATCATCAATCTAAAGCAGAGTGTCACTATTTAAGAGGCATGATACAAATTACAGGCAGATTATATATGCCAGTTCTAACATTTGTCCACTAAATACTCCTAGCAGTACCTATAACCACCAATTTTAGTGAAATTCCAATATCTCATGTTGCTTGTTTCCCCAAACTGCTGCTGCTATAAACTCATGTTTTCTCTCTTGGTATATTTTTCAGGCTGTGCAGGGCATGTACAACCAGGAATGCTACACAATAAAGTTATAAACATCTCCAGGAATATGCTTCCAGTCATTGTGAAGTTTGGTATGATGCTGTCTCTTCAAAACTTGTTGAGCATAGTGTTTCGATTTAAAGTAATATTAAATTTCCTGATGTTAGTGGACCAATATGCAGAGCAGGGGAGAGGAAGGAAACAGCTTAAGCTACTGGGGATAGAAGGTTCTATGGTTGGTAGAGGAGGAGAAAATGGCAAGGGATAAAGAGAGGTTAGTATTAAGAGGTTAGGATGGGGTTGTCTAATGGGGGACGGACGGACCCAAAACCAACATAATTTATTTTGCAGTTAATTAAATAAAAGGATGCATACTTGGAAGGCAAGTGTAGAAAAAAAGCCTCACAAAACTATAAAAGTTACCTTTTTATCTTCCATGTATTCAATGTTTGCAGTATTATACCCGTCTCTCTGACCATGGCTCAAGACCCTGAAACGCCGGACACCAACTGTGTCAACAACTGAACGTCCGTCAGGGAAAAACTTCACATCCCTGATCTCTAACATGCAGCCGTAATCAGCAAACCTGAAGGGACAAAGAGAGCCATATTAGTCCTGTGTATTAAGTATACCTAAAAATTCTTAAGTATACCTAAAATTGGTATCTGAAGAAGTGTGCATGCACACGAAAGCTCATACCAAGAACTAACTTAGTTGGTCTTTAAGGTGCTACTGGAAGGAATTTTTTGACTATGGCAGACCAACACGGCTACCTATCTGTAACTAAAAATTCTAAGCATACTTAAGGAATGTGTCTCATTGATTCAATATGGAATCATCAGTTCCATGCATAAGCATGTCTAGAATCAAGCTGTAAAGGGTTCTTGCAGAAATTGTGCATATACGTGATCAGAGAGATGCAACGCATGTGGAACTAGGTTGCCTATTCTGTGACTGATGAAAGGCTGCAACATTGGTGTTAGAAGAATGCAGGGACTACGTTCAGATGGCTGGATTTTCTTAGTACTTTGCAACTCCCCATGAGACTATTGAGGGTGAACAGTTAGGAGTTCTTTAACTCTTTAGATCAAGGTGTGTATGCGCTGCAGGATTTGCCGCCTGCTTGAATTGTCGTTTTGTCATCTGAGTTAGCATGTAATATACACAAGTCACTTTCAACACGTGTAATAAAACAATCTTTCTTTATTCCTTTTGGGTGAGAACTTCTTGTTGGCACATGGTTATGGATAAACACATATTCATAACGAACACACATCAAAACTCTAGCCATAGATCCTTAAAAGTTCTTGGCAGTGTGTGTATGAATACACCTGAGCGCTGGACACAGAGGTGGGTTCAGATACACACACTCCGTAACACCAGCATCTCTTTCGGGAATTTAATATTTGCAAGTCTGCTTCCAAATCCTTTGCTTACCCTTTCAGTTCATCAGCTAAGCACATGCCAAACTGCTTGGTGCCAGTATCCATACATCTTCTTATCATTAACCGATAGCGGGGTTCAAAGATGTGAAGAGGGCAAGGAATGGTAGGGAATGCCATGGTGCACACGAAGATGGGGACATCTTTATTCAGGCTGTAAGAGAACGAAGAGTCGTATTAAATCAGCACATGCAGCTGAAAGCTATTTTCTGAAACCTGCCATGAAATAAGCTTGGCTGTGCTGACATTATTATTCCCTATTTCCTAGGCCTTCCTTCTATCAGTGACACACCCACATGCAACATTAATCCACAGTTTTAATATCAACTGGAGCAGGCCTGCACGCCATGTTTGTTCTTGGCCTACTGCTTGTAGTGCGTTTGAAGGAAATAAATCATGAGCCCAGCACAATCGTGAGCAGGGCACACATCATAACAGGCTTGTTTCCTTCGCCCCTGCCCTCCTCTCTTTCATAGGAAGGCTGCTTACTTTGACAATTCCTTCATTTCTTCTTCGTAAACTTTCTTCCTTTCAGACAACTCTTCTGGCAAGTAACGAACTATTAATTCTTCAGTAAGGATGGTCTTCTTGTAAGTTCGGCCGGCCAAAAACTAAAAATGAAAGCATTCAAGAACTCAGTAACAAAGCTGGCTTTGGGGCAGAATCTAGTGATGAAGTTAGTGTGGTTAGCCAAACCTTTCCATACTTTAAAAGCACAGGGGGTGGGGGGCTGCAGATGTTGTTGGATGACAACTCCTACAATCCCTTATCATTAGATACACTGACAGGAGTCGGACTTCCAACATCATCTGTAGGCCCCAGGCTCTGCCATCCTTGCCTTAAAGTCTGAAGAGAAGAAAAGGTGTGTGCAAAATACTCAAAGATGGCACAATCCTGTATAGTGCAGTGAAGGGTTAACCCTGGTTTTCAACAGCCAGGACAGATACACGGGATAGCAAAATAGTAGGGGGGGCCACTCATTACTGTATCCACAGAAGATGCCGTAAAAAGAAAGAAAGAATAGGACCCAATCTATTATTGTGGTAAAGCCGTAAGGTAAAGGTAAAGGTACCCCTGCCCGTACGGGCCAGTCTTGACAGACTCTGGGGTTGTGCGCCCATCTCACTCAAGAGGCCGGGGGCCAGCGCTGTCCGGAGACACTTCCGGGTCACGTGGCCAGCGTGACATCGCTGCTCTGGCGAGCCAGAGCCGCACACGGAAACGCCATTTACCTTCCCGCTAGAAAGCGGTCCCTATTTATCTACTTGCACCCGGGGGTGCTTTCGAACTGCTAGGTTGGCAGGCGCTGGGACCAAACGACGGGAGCGCACCCCACCGCAGGGATTCGAACCGCCGACCTTTCGATCGGCAAGCCCTAGGCGCTGAGGCTTTTACCCACAGCGCCACCTGCGTCCCTATATACCAGTACGGTAAAGCCGTACTGCAAAGAAATTTCCAATTACTTTCCTCTTTTTTTGTAGTCAAAAACGACCTTGGAGGAAATAATTCATGTTTAACTACTGCTATGCAGTATATTCATATCTTGCTAGCCAAGCTTCTTTGAGATGCCCAGCTATAAAATGAGGTTCACATTAATAGGTAGGGAGCTTGCCAAAAGAAGGTTGTTGTTGTTTTGCTCCTCTACTAATCCCTCCCCCACGTTTCCTGGCTCTGTGGGCAGCAGCTGGAGCCAGGAGGAGTCCAGCTCAGACATAGCAGGACTGTGGCAGGTCCCTGCAGGCTCAGTGTTCATGAGGCCAGTTCCAGAAATATTTGACACCTTCTCTTGAGTTGGGTGTGTGGATCCAAGTCTCAGGAGGTCCACAATAGCCCAATCCCTTCAGCGGTACCTGGGCTAAAGAGTGTGTACATGAGCTTCCTTCCTTCCTTTTGCCCTCATACCAAATGAAAAACCTCGTTGTTCCCCCAAGAGGAAAGCCTTCTGGACCCTGCAATAACTTTGGGGGGAAAGTGTACAGCTCGATCTCCTTTGGCCTCCAAAACCGCTCTGGGAGCTTAGGCTGAAGGGTAGCACATAAGAAACACCTTGCTTCCTTTCAGCCTAACTTCTATTCACAGCTGTTTAGAACCACACAACTTTTATAGAGTTGGAAGGGACCTCAAGGATCATCTAGTCCAACCCGTTGCAATGCAGGAATGTTTTGCAAAACATGGAGCTCAAACCCACCACCCGGAGATTAAGAGTCCCACATTCTTTGCATTACTTTGCATTTTATAACGATGCTTTAAAAACGTTGCGAGCCACCTTGATTCCCAAACTTGGGAGGGAAAGAAGGATATAAATATATTAAATAAATATAATTAAAACTAAGCTGAGCTGTGCAACTCTTGAGCATGCCTAGCCTTGTGTCCTGCTGCAATTTTGAGTGGAGGGTATTTCACCCACACCCAAAAGTTTTCCTGCATACCCTGAGGGCCTTTATCACTGGAACACACCTACTTCTGCATCACCAATTCCTTATTTTGCAAGCCAGCCCCCCCCCACACACACCTGGTTTGCTAACAGTAAGTATTACCCAACCAAGAGGCTTCCATTTAAGCAGTCCCTGGGAGATAGTGGAATACTTACTTCAGACAGCTTTTCCTTACAAAGCGGACAGTATGGATTATGGTCCAGGCAACGTTCAAGGCATTTGAGGCAGAAGGTATGTCCACAGGGAGTAGCAACAGGTTCGTAGAATAACCTGAACGATCGTGAGCATTGAAAAAACAACTGGTTACTCCACACTTTTGTTCAAAGCACAACTCCAGATTTTTCACATGCGTTAATAAAGGCATATGTGATTTCATGAGGTACAAATAACAGCTCCCCAGTATTAAGATACTCAGATATATAAGGTAGACGCCAAATTGCTCCTTAAACCAGGGTTGCAGGTGCCAAAACAGAAATTCTAGTTGCTATTTTGGGGCCAGACGGCTCAAAAGTCATATTTTTCAATACAACTTTTGGGTTCCTGAAATTCATTCTGATTTTGCAGATAAAATATAATGGATAAAATTCTACGGGATGTGTTAGTAGTGTGCAAAATCAGTCAAGATCCAAGGATCTCCAGGCATGGACCTCCAGATGATGGAGACATCAGGCGCCATCCTGGCACCAGCAGGAACTCGCACTGCGCTCCGCAGGCTTCAGGCAGCTATCCCTGAAGCCTGGAGAGTGAGAGGGGTCAGTGCACACCAACCCCTCTCGCTCTCCAGGCTTCAGCGAAAGCAACGCGAAGCCTCCAGAGCGCGGAGGGAGCGCTCCCTCTGCGCTTCGGAGGCTTCGCGTTGCTGTCGCTGAAGCCAAGGAGCCTGCATTTGCTCTATAGGACGCACACACATTTCCCCTTAATTTTTGGAGGGGAAAAAGTGCGTCCTATAGAGCGAAAAATACGGTAGATGACTGAGAGCTCTTTTTTAAAAAAGAGTTTGAGCATAGCTATAGAGCACATATTCCACAGGAAATCAATGTGATGCCCTCCTGAAGTTTTTGTACTGCAACACCTAACTTTCATGACCACTGGCACAGCTGGCTAGGGCTGATGGGGCGCTGAGAGTCAAGAAACATCTGGAGAACCAGTGCTATTTTTCTAGAAAAAGAGGTGCCAGAACTCACTAGGAACACCTCCCTTGTTCACTTATAATGGCAAAGGTGCCCACCTAAGAGGTGCCTGCAAGGCCCTTTCAGCCAAGCTACACCCACCTGCCTGTCGCCCGATTTCATAGGACGTTCCTTTGGCACCGCACCTTGTTGTGCTGCTTTCGGCAGGGACTGAATACACTCAGGAATTCCGGGTCACTTCCAAGCATACCTGATCCCTGCCAAAATTAGCACAGCAGGGCAAGGTGCCAGATACGAGCAGCACCCAAAGGTAAATCCCCTGTCGCAACAGGAGAACCTGCCGCACACTCCAGACAGATCCTTTATCTTTGGCACTGCTTGAACTTGGCACCTTACACCGTCATGCTGCTTTCAGTGGGTATAGGATGCACTCAGGAGCTCTGGGTTTTTATGGCATCGGGTGACTGGCAGGTCAGCCATCCTGTCAATGTGGCCTGAAAGTTGACCACTTTCAGATCCAGCCCTCCAGCTGATAAGTAGTTCCTCACCTCCGTGGGTAGATAGATTGATAGATATGAATTAAATAGCTTAGTGTGCATAAGACAGGATCTTTCCCTCTTTCCTCTGCCTTTAAAATGCCACACAATATTTTCCAAACAACATTTAGTCCATTTATTGCTAATACCTCATGCAAAGGGAACACTCAAAATCAGATGCATCCACAAGGCTTGCGGGTATCGCTGTTAAGGGAAGAGAGCTGGGATTTTCGCAAGAAGCGTCTCCATCTTAAAAGAGAGAGAGAGAGAACACACACACATTGAAAATCAGCAAGGTTTACTGAAGGGCCCTATTATTAATTTTAATTGTTCAAGGTCATCCTACATTAAGAGCTTTTTCACTAACTAAAACAACAATTCACAGAGGGTTTGCTGGAGTACTGAATTCAGAGTATTATAGAGAAGGGCAGGCTAAAGTAGACAGCGTAAGGCACCCATTTTCCTATCAGAAAAATCATGTGTTTACATCATTTGGAACTGCTATCTCCAGCTCCGGAGGAACATACAATGAATTAATTTTTCATATCTGAAATTACTGAAAAACATCAAAAGCAAATGAAAGCTGCTGCAGAACAAAACCAATGAAGTTGGGTAACTTGTTGAATCGGATGAAGTAAATTCCAGTCCACGAAAGCTTATGTTACAACTAATGTGTTCATCTTTAATATGCCACAAGTTCATCGTTTTTGCTATAAAAGGACAATATTGTATATTGGGAGTTGCATCAAAACTGCTCTCCAGAGAAGGAACACAGGTCTGGCTGTAAAATTTCACATGTTGCCCACTTTATTGTTTATTGTATATGACCTTGGTGGTTAGGAGTGAAACTCTCTCTCCAAAGAGTTGTATCTGGCTGTTTCTTTAAACAAATTTCAGCAAATGCCGATGACACACTCTTTACCCTGGCTTCCGAGATGCATAATTTTACAACCGACCTTATTTATGTGATTGGACTTTGTCGTAAAATTGTTTTCAACATTGTGCTGTAATTGTTATAAGCTGCCCTGGGGCCCTTAGGGTGAACGAACAATGAATTAAAATACTATTTCAACTAATAAAGTTTTTTTTAAAAAAAAGAATCCTACAAATTTATCACCGAGTATCAAATTAAATTCAAAAGCTGTGACACAGGCATAGGCAAACTCAGCCCTCCAGATGTTTTGGGAATACAATTCCCATCATCCCTAGCTAACAGGACCAGTGGTCAGGGATGATGGGAATTGTAGTCTCAAAACATCTGGAGGGCCGAGTTTGCCTATTCCTGCTGTGACACATCATGTCATCCCACAGACGTTGCCAACCAGGTGCCTGTGGATAATGCCCCAATTCCCCAAATTCTTTTAAAAAACAAACACCTTCTAACATCTTAAGACCCTGAGATATGAGATGAGGTGTAGCAACACCACTGTTCTCATTTTTCTGTGAAAAATTAACCAGCTCTCCCCTATTCAGTGTTTTGCTTTGAGCCACACCCTAAGTTGAGAAAAATTCCTGTAGACACCTGAGTGTGAGAGAGGGAGAGATGAACACATGTTGTGTGTGAGAGAGGTGTGTGTGTGTGTGTGTGTGTGTGTGTGTGTAAAACAGAGAGGCATGTGTCCATGACCTGTATGTGGGCGGCAATTGTGTACATATGCATGAGAGAGGGGAGGGGTGTTGTGGCCGCTTGCCGCATTTCTTATGGTTCTGGAGAATGTTCCCTTTTATTTGACAACAACAGTATCCTTGCATGTGCGTGTGAGAGAAAAATCAATATCGTGTGATTTTCAGAAACAGGCTCAGCAGGACATGGATGACTTCCAGAAATTTTCTGGGGCAGGAAGGGGCAGAGAAGCAAATTCTTGTACTCTCTTTAATTATGCCACACACCCCACAGCAGCTATGTGCCATTGTGCCACATCTTCATGGCACAGGTGTGAATGTGGTTTCTCAAAATTCAAAAATTGCCCGCTGGTCCCAAAACATGGTTAGTGACCCTTTTTCTACAGCAAGAGCATTCTCTTATGACATTAAACACTGTATATATTACAAACTTTTAGCTTTTTAACTTACACTACTCATGGCAGAAATTGTCCAGGTGCTCTTAATGAAAAATAACCTACCAACCACAGAAGCAGAGTAGTGCGAATTTCCTTACAAAGCAAGGAAAAGCAGAGATCCTCATTCAAAAAACACACCTTTTCGAGGAATTTTGATAGGGACACCTAAGCTCTGTAAATCCCCATCACTAGAAAACTTTCTTTTTAAGCTTGCGCCCGGCAGACTGGAGAGGACCGTTCCCAAAGTTTTTTTGTTGTCTTCAAAAGAGAAGTCCAGTATATGATGAGAAACAGAAGACTCTGTACTTCGATATGCATCAGTGTCTTGGGACAGGTTTTTAGTTAGCTTCAAGCTGGCCTCCTGAAACAGATACAACAATAGCATCTTCAATTCAGGGAAGAGTTTCACAAACCGCTGTTGCATGACCTTTACAACTGCTGCTTATAAATCATCTCCTACCCCAGTTACATAAAAATGGACTAAGTGGATAATTATCCAAGTCAGTGGAACAGTGGCTCATGCAGGGCTCTATTTGCATAATTACTGGAACAGACGAGCTCTGGCTTGTATCTCAAGACTGAAAGTCTCCCCAGTATGCTTTAAATGGGACTCCTCAAATTTGCAAAACTTTACAGTTTCAGCTTTTCGTGGGCAATTTCTTTCACTTCGTTCTCTTCCCATTAGCAAAAAACTTCCTTTGTGAGCTGCCATGTTACTGACTTTACTGATCTAGGACCAAAGCTGAGAAACTTCTGTACACTGTGCTCCAAAGCGCTGGTGTAATCACTTTGCTGGCCTATTCTAAACCTCAGTAAATAATGAATCAGATAGGGAGGTGATATTCTGACCCCCAACTTTTATTTTTGAAGCATACGTGTTGTAAGCCTTACCTTTGAGGTCTCTGCAGTTGACCCATCTTCTCCAGAAGACTGTGTGTTTATGCTACTAAGAAACACAGGTTTCAACCTTGTATACGAGGTCCGATTACAAAAAGGTGTTGTTAGATTATCGTGCACGTTTTCAAATGCTGGGAAAAACATCTCACACATTATCTAAACAAAGGGAAAAAGGAGAGAGAAAAAGAAACAAGTTTTGAAATGCTGTTGCAGTGACTCAGGCTAGAGAGATCTTGAGGCTGAAACAATCTCACCCTATTCTCAGGACTTTAATAGAATCACGGAATTTGTAGAGCTGGAAGGAACCCCAATCCTCTGCAATGCAGGAATCTCAGTTAAAGCATCCCTGAGAGATGGCCATCCAAACTCTGCTTTAAAAACCTCCAAGGAAGGAGAGTGCACAACCTTCCACTGTCGAACAGCTCTTACTGTCAGAAAGTTTTTCCTGATGTTTAGCTGGAATCTCCTGGGTAAGAAACCCAGCTTGCAAATAACTTCTGGTTAGCAGTGCTGGTGCTGTGCCCAATGCCAGTGCTAATCAGGCTACACATAGTTTTATCTGGTAAAGTGAATGATTAGAGGTCTTTGGCAGAACAGTATAATACACTAGAAATGAAGGAACTATAGGTTATTGGGGGGGGGCTATAGAGATCAGCTGCAAAGCTGCAGCTGTAGTGGCGTATGTGAGACCTTCACTGGTTGGTAAGCTAGTTGGAGGTTAGATACGGTTTCAAAGGCTATTAGCTGCAAACCACGGTCTTTGTGATTATTTTAACCAGCAGGCAAATCCACAAGCAACAGTGGCTATTGTTTCATTGGAATGATCAAGCTACTCAAGCTATAAGTCCCTCTGCTAATTATCATGAGCTGATTAACATGGCAGTGAGAACCACACCCATGACTAACACACAATCTCACTGTTAACAGCAGAACTGTGCATCAGAAGCCTTTAGCAAAACACAAAACGAAACGCACATGTGCATATATTATTCCCTGCACTGACCACATGCAAAGTTGGTACAGTTATCCTACCTTCTGAGCTTCCATTTTCATTGAGCTCCATTCAGGATTTAAGGCAACACAATAAAGAAATTCCTTCAATGCTTCTTCAATCCTTCCTAATCCAGAAAGAGCTTGTGCTTTCACATAATGACCCTGTGTGAACATAACACACAGAAAAACCTCAATGTATCTCAGTATCAAAAAAATTGTGGGAAACAGTACAGTTTCTTACATGCATTTCGTTATTTCATATTTGCTACCCATAGGCCAACAAAAACTTTTGCCACCTCCCCCATAGCAGCTTATGAACCTTGTACCTTAGGCCAATGGGGTTTATTTCGGCAGAGTGCCTCTGCATCATAAAGAGCTTGTTGATAATTCTTCATAGCTGTACAAAGTTCTGCCCGCTGTGCTATTAACGAACATTTACAGGAAGCTGAAATATAAGCAGCAGACAAGAAAATGTAAGGGAAACTTTTGTCTAGCATTATTAAATCTTGTTAGTTTTACACAGGCACAATCAAAACATAATCAGTTCCTGCAATCAGTTCTTCTCTCTCTCTTGTTTATAATAGCATTCATGCCTTTTTAAGAATATGATGGTTGAGACACACATCTCTGCTAAAAGGCTGCATATATAAAACATTGTATTTTTAGAGCTACCTAGCTAATCGCCAGGCAGCTTTCAAAAGGGGTATATGTGGCAAGTTCGAGATCAGTGTGACATCAGGTTCTGTAAGGATTATAAAACATGAGAACACTTTGGCATGCCATTTCACTATGACCCTTGGGCTTAAGTTTCTAGTAGCTGGCAAGCTTACTAATTGGTAATATTAGCTCATGGTTCACAATTCCTGAAGACCAAACTCTTCCTCTGCAGAAACAAGAAGGCTTAGAAGCAACAGTATTTTTTTGAAATCATTAGAATGATTATTGGCCCTTCATCCAGATTGAGGCCATCAGTCTACTATTGTTTTTCATACATTATTATTTCTGAATTATATAATTTAAATTCCCAATGCATATATATTTAGAAGGAGGATTCGTTTGATAAAGGCTTTCTTTATATATATTAAAAAATCAGCATCAAAATCAACTGGAAAGTTTGGAACAGCAACTGCTTGGTTTGATGTTATATAGCCTTCCTTGCAAACAAATTAGGATGAACGCTCAATAAGCAGCCAATATCATATAACCTCCCCACAAACCTTGTACCAAAGCTTGTCTGGAAGTGACCTCAATATAAGCAGAGACCCCTCTGCTTCCCTTCAAAGATGGAGAAAAAGCACTCAAGGCTTTATTGGCTTTCTTAATTAAGCAACAGAAGGTCACTGGTGAAAACCAGAGCTAAGTCTCTAAACCTACTTCAGCAAGACTCCACACATGTGGTTAACATCTCTCTTAGAACTTTCAAGCCTACAGCTCCTCTTTGCCTCCCACGGGCTCAGTTCTCTTAGTCTGTCCTTAGAAACTGTACTCAAGTTTTGTGAACAAAGATGTTTTGGAAGGGAACTAATTAAGTAGGCATGTGACTAAACTGTCACAGTTCCTAATGAAAAGCTAGACAACAGGTATGAACAGATGAAGATGGAAGAGTGAATGATACCATTGATGGTCAAGTTATTGAATCACCTGCTAGTCCTTTATGCTTCTAGCAGGTACTCATGCCTTATAACAAACAAGTCAGGTAGACACTCTGTAAAATACTCCGATGGTTCGATCCTATGCATTTGTACTCAAATCTAAGTCCCACTGAGTTCAACATGTCTTACTGCCAGGTAAATATGTACAGCAAGGGCAGCTAACCAGTGACCCTACAGATGCTGTTGGACTACAAATCCCATTATCCCACTGGCCATGGTGGCTAGGGCCATCTGGAGGATCACATCTGGATTAACTACCCTGGTCGGTGTAAGATATCAGGCTGAACTTTCCACATTCTGTATTGGCATTGTCCCCAATGCTCTGAACCACAGTTTTGCAGGCGTTTCTACATATGTTCTACATATGCTAGTGGATCTCTTAAGGTTTATGCTTTTAAAAAAAGGGGGGCTCTTTTTTCCTCTGTGAAATCTATAGCAATGAAGGGTGAATCAGAAAAGAAATATTTGGCTAACTTGTTGGGGGAGTCTTAACCATTCTGGTTCAACAAGGATCGCTCTTAAGGAAGGTGTGGCATGTTTTCAACAAGTACTTTAACATCACCTACGGAACACACACACAGTCTACCAAAGCTTACAAGGAACATGTGTTTTACCATGACTAACTACGTGACAGACATGGGCACTTAAGGTATTTTTAAGCACAATTCAAAACATGTTTGTGCAAGCACAACGGAAGCGTTTTAAAACAGACTGAGACTGTGTATAATATGCAGTTACATCAGTCTTTCCCTAAATGTATTTTCTTCCCCCCACTCCCAAGCTTTAAAGAAGCCTTAGGTTTAGTGAGGGAACAAATGGGGGGAGAATCTGCTTAACCCTTTCTCCCAATGCCCCTCACCTAGGCATTTTTTCTCACTACAGGGGGGGGGGGGAAACACATGCTCATATATTTCTTCCTGTCTGGAACTACAGAGAGGAGATTTTGACCAGAAAGAACAGCCGGCAGGGGAAAGGTTAAGCAGAGCCTCTCGAAGCTCCTTTTGGACAAAAGATCCACACAACTTCGTGCCATGCGTTATTTTGGCCTCAATTAAATTATATATACAGTTTGTTATCTGATCTCCACATTATGCCACCATAATGTGATACAAGCTGTATGAGGCATATGAAATATATTTAAGGTGGTTTCCAGACAACTCGGTCCGAACATTCATCCTGATTTGTTTGCAGGGAGGTTGTATGAGGTCGACTCATTTCAACCGTTATCCCACATTTTCCAATGTATCTTCCTATCACTTTCCTTACTTAAAGAAAGGTTTTGGCTTTTGGAAGCATGTTGGTTGTACAAGACTGCCGAATCCATTGAATTTGCAGGTGTGCAGCTGAATTCCACCCACAAAACTGCAATGGTTGGGAGGTGGCCCATGTTGTTTGACACTAGATTAGATCTGGGCATAAATGGTACTAGGAAACTACACTGTGATGCAGAATGAGTTCAGTAAGTGGCAGCACTCATTTCTTATGTGTAGATTTTGAAGAACTTTTTTGGGGGTGGAGGGGGTGGGGAGGGTTATATTGGAACAACATCCTTTTTGGTGATTTCAACCATAATCATGAGTGCAGACCAGCAACTGCTGTCAAAGTTACAGGGGGAAACTATTTGCGGCCAAGAGGGAGGTTTTCATTAACCAGACACATAAAGTAAACGCTAATATGCCAGAGCTTCCATGGGCTTGAACACTCATGCCATTACGATTCATGAAACTATTCAAGTACAGTGGTACCTCAGGTTAAGTACTTAATTCGTTCCGGAGGTCTGTTCTTAACCTGAAACTGTTCTCAACCTGAAGCACCACTTTAGTTAATGGGGCCGCCTGCTGCCGCCACGCCGCTGGAGCACGATTTCTGTTCTCATCCTGAAGCAAAGTTCTTAACCTGAAGCACTATTTCTGGGTTAGCGGAGTCTGTAACCTGAAGCATATGTAACCTGAGGTACCACTGTATGTCTGAAGCGAATCCTCACTTTATTCTGCACAGATCACACTGACATCCTGCCCGTTTCACAAAATGCTGTGCAGAGATTCTGCCCTGGGTGGGTCAGGATTGCTCCTAAACCCATTTGCTGGCAGAGCCCAATGCCAGGCTTGCAGAAAATAATCACACTGGAAGCAGCAAAAGGAGACTGCTGGGGCCCTTACAGCACAAGGAGGGAAACTGGGCAAAGTTGTTGGTTTGTTGTTGTTGTTGTTTGCAAGGGACAGGGTGGCGTGCGAGTAGAAAACTCACATCTCTACATGCCAGTTCTAAGGTTGCCCCAACCAACAATGACAAAACTCTAGTTCTGCAAAAGGAGTAGTCCAAGTAAAAATGGAACACAGATCTCAGTTTATTTGAGGAGGGATCATAGCTGAGTAGGAGAGCATCTGCTTTACATGTGGAAGGTCCCAAGTTCAATTCCTGGCATCTCCAGTTAAAAGGGATCACATAACAGGTGCTGGAAGACCTCTGCGTGTTCATAGAACGATGCAGCTATTATTGTGAGTTTGACTTCGCTTGCCAAAGAATTGATGCTTTTGAATTATGGTGCTGGAGGAGACTCTTGAGAGTCTCATGGACTGCAAGAAGATCAAACGTATCCATTCTTAAGCAAATCAGCCCTGAGTGCTCACTGGAAGGACAGATCCTGAAGCTGAGACTCCAATACTTTGGCCACCTCATGAGAAGAGAAGACTCCCTGGAAAAGAACCTGATGTTGGGAAAGATGGAGGGCAGAAGGAGAAGGGGACGACAGAGGACGAGATGGTTGGACAGTGTTCTCAAAGCTACCAGCATGAGTTTGACCAAACTGCGTAAGGCAGTGGAAGACAGAGTGCCTGGCGTGCTCTGGTCCATGTGGTCACGAAGAGTCGGACACAACTAAACAACAACAACAACAAATTGGTTGACAGTTTTGTTCTCTCTTACTGGAATAAGCTCCAGTGTATAGGATATTACTGATGTAGAGGATACAGTGGATATACTGGGATTCATGATTGCACTGTGACTTTCTAGAATAAGTAAGGAATGTTTTCACAACATTTCAAGGGCATCTTTAAATAGAACTCTATTTAATTCCCATTACTAAAGCGCAAGAAGAAAACTAGATTTAAGAACCAATAAAACTGGTGCAAGGCTTATTCAGGGAATGGTATTACTAATTATTAATGCAGAAGAGAGTGAAGTAAATTTAACGTTTCATTTTTACTGCATTCAGCCTAAAAAAAAGTTCTGCATTTATCCCTAAAATATTGCCAGCGTTGAATAATCTTCACCACCACTACAAATTTTCTGAGTTATAAAAGGGAGCTGCAAAAAATATACCAGTTTATGCATCTGCAAGGTACATCTAAGTGCAACTAAAAATGAATGTTGTCTGTTATAGCAGGAATGCAAATAAAAAAACATTACTGCAGCTTACAGTGAAATAATTAAAAGTATAGGTGACATCATCGTAACACTTGGAATAAGGCAAAAATTCAAAGCAGGGGTGTTTAACCACAATAGACAGAATTAAGGTGAGCACAGCCTGCTGCAAGGAAACTTTCCCAACATGATTCTGTTTGCACCCTGCTCACCCAGGGGAATGCTAGGTGATGGAGGGCTCCCTTTATGGTAGAAGTCCAAAATCTTAGGCTAGTGTCCTTTTCCTCCATGGAATCATAGGGGTTGAACTACAACTTCCCACTATTCCCAGCATAAAAAAGAAATTAGCAACATCCATGCCTTGCCATAATCTTTCCCTCATACTAGAAAAAACACTGCAGACTTCTCTCAATTAAGGGATCCCTTCACT